TGGCTTCGCGGGGTCAGGGGGAGAAGACGGCGGAGAGAGGTGGCAGCGGGCTCGGAGGCGGCGGCGAGGGCGGGGGCGGCGAGGGCAGCGCGCCGCTCTGCGCCCTGCGGGTGCGTCGCGTGGTGCGACTCGTGCCTGCGAGCAGACGGTGCGAGCTGGGGGTGCGAGCAGACGGTGCGAGCTGGGGGTGCGAGCTGAGGGTGCGAGCAGAGGGTGCGAGCTGGGGGTGCGAGCTGAGGCTGGAGGGCCGTCTCTCTATTCCGCGAGACGGCGAGTGCACAGCGCAGACGCGGCGTCGAATACGGCGGGATGGCGTCGAATACGGCGGGATGGCGTCGAATACGGCGGAATGGCGTCGACTACGGCGGAATGGCGTCGAATACGGCGGAATGCGCGTCCCCTCGGGCGCTGCTTGGAGTGCGGCGGACGACTCTGCGCCAGGGGTGCATTCTCCACTGTGCATGCATGACTGGTGGTGTGGCCGTTGGGGTGGCGAAGCCCCCTGGCTGCGCCAGTCGCTGCGGGTAGCTGACTTGGCGACATGCGTCGGGTCTGCGGCCTTGAGCGGTGTCTGTGTCTGTGCAGCCTCTGGAGGCGCCGCACCCCATCAGGAAGCGCAGGCCGTACGAGAAGGACCACAGAGGCGCCTGGAGGCGGCGGCGGCGGCGGCGGGTGGGGATGCTGCGCGTCGGGCGGCGGCGGCGAGCGAGGTGGGGAGGCGGCAGCGGCGAGGGCGGTGGGAGGCGGCAGCGGTGGGGGCGGTGGGGCGGGAGGAGACGTGGCAGCGCGCCTCTGCGGGGTCGTCCCCTTTGTCAAAGTTCGCGCTCCACGGGAAGTGGAAGTACGCCAGCGCGCCTGCGAGAGGCCTCCAGGAAAGGTCTGGGACAAGTCTGCGCTCCGCGGGACGGGGAGGAGTACACGCACGCAGCGCGCCCGCGTGCGACGCATGCGTCCACGACGGCCGCACGTCCCACACGGCTCGGACCAGCGCCGCGCATTCCGCAGGGCTCAGGGCGCCAGCGACGGACACAAAGTACGCCGTCGACCCGTTGAGCACCTGGACGGGCTTGTCGCCTCCATGCCGAAAGCGCGGCGGGTCGAGACCCACGGCGAAGAGTGCCATCGGGCCGGCAAGACCGACGCACGTGGCTGGAAGCAGTCGCCGCCAAGGCAGCAGCGCGGCCGCGGTGCAGGCGAGCGCGACCAGAAGCAGGCCAGCGTCTGCGCGGAAGTAGCCGAGGAGCGGCACTGGGAGGAATAGCTGGCCCGCAGCAGTCGTGGCACGAGCGGCGACCCAAGAGAGGAGCGCGCCGATGAGCGCGCCGCGCAAGAGCATTCGGCTGGAAGTGGGATACCTAGGGCCCTTTGAGGGAATTCGGCGGCGACGGAAGCGGCCGGCTAGTGCTCATTCGAGCGTCAAAAAAAAAAAGTTTTCGGCGGCGACTGACTGCACTCCAAGTGCTCCAAGTATCGGCTTTTTGCCTATGCGCGCGCGACTTGCACTCTTTCGTGCCGCTCGCTCGCCGGTGCGCGGGGCATGGCCTCCCGCGCGGCTCGCGCTCACTCGGCCTGCCTCCGCCTCACGGCTGTTTGAGCACGCCATGGGTCCGCCTGGTGCGGCGCTGCTCGCTCGCTGCGCTGCACAAAGCTGCGAGAAGCAGGGTGGCCTCCTGAGCTTGAGCATTGCGCAGCGCGGCTGCTGGTGCTCGAGGGCGGCCGTGCGGTGGCGTGAGGGCCTGATTGGTGGTGACCTCCTGCTGCATCAGCGTGCGCAGCATGCTCCCTCACCCGGTGCTGAGACATGCTGGTGGGCGACTGGCGCCAGCTTCTCAGTGCTGTCCTTGGCGTTGTGCAGCATGTCGCAATACTCCTGTTGCGCTGACCGGCGCGCGGGGTGCGTCGTGCCGCGCGTGGAGCGAGAGGCTCGAGGCGCGCGGCTGTCGGTCAACCCCGCGACGCATGCGCGCCGCCAAGGCTGCTCGACAGGCGACTGGCATTGTGGCGACGCGGTCGCCGCTACTCCAACTTCGCTTTGCCCCCAATCGAATTCCGGTCGGTTATAACGGCGGAAGTTTGGTCGGGGGGTACGGCGTCTGTATTCTCGTATTATTTCAAACAAGGTATGGGGGGGGGGGACGTATTCCCGTTCACTAACTAGCTCCGAGTAGAGGGGGCGTCCTTGCAGTTAAGTAAGGGGAAACCTGGTACGCGGGTCCAACCCTCGGAGAGTATTCTTTAGCTCCGAGTAGAGGGGGCGTTCCGCAGCTAGGGGGACCCACAGCGCGAGGGGGGAAAATTCCGCCGCTGGCGGCTGGGGGAAACCCGGAGCGCAGAACTAACCCTCGGAGACCCGTGTTATGGCCCTGCGAACGCGCACCCCCTTAGGCTGAACAAGCTTTTCCTCTCGCACCCCGTCTGTTTTCCTTTCCTTTTTTCTCTACGACACCCTTTTTTCTTTTCTATTTTCCCGGGAAAACTCCGTGGAAATCGTCAAATTTTGGGCTCTGAGCCGAGTCTGAGGCTGGTTTGGGCCCCAAATCAGCCAAATTTTAGGCCAAATCGGCAAAAAGACAGGAATTTTGCGGAGAACCCGTGTAAACCTGGAAATTACCCTGCGACCGCCTAGGTATTTTGTCGATTTCCTCAATTTTGCCTCAGATTTTGCCCCAGTGCCCAGACCAGCTCTCAGACTCAGGGAAACTCGCGAGTTTCCAGAATGGAGCACCAAACACCCTCTGTTTTCCCTGGAAATTTCCGGAAACGCAAAGTGCTGGGGACCCTCTGTTTTCCTGTTTGCTTGCCGGAAAAGCTTGTTCAGGCCAAGCACCCCCCAGGGCTAGGGCTCTCTTGCCCTGGCGCAGAAGGTGGGCAAGCTGGTGCTCGTGATCACGCGCGAGCAGGAGCAGCAGGGGCTCATGTACGACGGCTCGGTTCCGTTCATGCTGAACGGGCGCAAGTTCCGCCCGCCGGTGCGCGGCGTGTGGTTCGCCGTGGCGAGCAAGGGGTACGCGGTCTTCGCGTGGGCGTCGGCCGCGGGCGTGACGCATCGCAAAGGGTTGAAAAAGAAATCTTCGTTAGACAAAAGGTGAGAAGCCGGGAAAGGCGCGAAATAATAAACATAAAGAAAGAAAGAAAACGGCGGAAAACCCAAAGGCACAAGGGAGGGAACGCTCACGGCACGCCGCCACCAACACAGGGATATCATATTTGTTCATAACATCGAAGGCTAAGCTCAAAAAAAGAAAAAGTGCGAAAAGCACTGCCGCCCAAAAGTCCGACGGACTGAGTACGATGAAGTTCGGCGCGAAGATCAAGTCGCGAGTGGCGGCGCTCGAGGCCTTCATCTCTAGAGACGCCTTCATCGACTACGACGGCCTCAAGCGGATCATTGACGACGGCATGAACGAGTCCAGCAAGCGCCTCACTTGGAGGCGCGAGTTTCATGAGCTCTATCTGGAGGAGATTCGTCGCGTCCGCTCCTTTCTCGAAGGCCAGGCGCAGGGCCACTTCATCGCCGACGTGTTTGGCTCGCATTCCAAGGCCCGCGTGCCTCTCAACGTGCTGCTCGACTTTGTCGAACTAAACAAGGCCGGGTTCGACAAGATCACCAAGAAGTTTGACAAGGTCCCGGGTCGGGGGGGCCTGGGACCCTCTCCGTGCCACAGCCCTGATCCGACAGCCTCCCTCGCAGATCGCGTGTTACCTCCACGTCCGCTGGAAGCTGCTCGGCGTAAGCATCGACACGAAGGACGAGCTGATCGATCACCTCCGGATGCGGAACGCCGTCATGCACCGAACCGTGCGACCCGCGTGGCCGACGAGGCCAGCTCTCTGCGGCACTTCTGCCTCCGTCGGCAACCTGTAGGTACGCGCGAGAGTTCGAGCCCTTGGCGCTGCGCGCGCTCACGCTCCGGGAGCGAGGCGCGGCGAGACACTTCCGAGACACTTCCGAGACACTTTCGAGACACTTCCGAGACACTTCCGAGACACCTCCGCGAAGCTCGTGCTTAGGCGCGCGCGCGCGCACGCACGCACGCACACACACACACCCACTCACTCACACCGCTCACCCACGCGCACCGGGCCTTGCACTGTTCATGCCGTGGGCTAGGCCGTGGGGCTCCTGTCTTCTATTGCAATAGACGTTGAGTCGCGAGGGTTGCCTAAACCTTGCCCCACCACCTTGTGTGTGCGCGCGCTCGCGCGCGCGCGCGCGTGTGTGTGTGTGTGGAGAAGCTTACCTCACTTCACCATAGGCGCGCGCGCGCGGCGGGCCTTCCTGGCGCTGCTCGCTCTGGCGAGCTCGGCGCTGTACGCGTCGGTGTCGCACTCGTCGCGGGTCGAGCTCGCGGAGCTGCCGGACATCGCGGTGGTCGCGATGCCATGGCACGCCTCCCTCATCCTCGGAGCCGGCTGGCCCTTCATCTTGCTTGCGTGGCTCTCTGGCCACACGGGAGTCGCGCCCGGCTCCGCGCTGCAGGCGATCGAGGGGCACTCTCTCGGGCCGCCTCGGGCCGACTCGGGCAATCTCGGGCGGCTTCGGGCGATCTAGGGCCACCTCGGGCAGTCTCGAGCCGCTTCGGACCATCTCGAGCCATCACGAGCACAGCACTCGAGAGCCTCGGCAACACTCGGCAACACTCGACCCCACTCGAGCCTCCTCCCGCGCCGCAGCTCGTCGTCGTCGTCTTGCTCTGCGCGGCGGCGGCCGCGGTGGTCACGTCCGCGCCGCCGCCGCCCGAGCCGGCGTCGGGCCTGTCTTGGGGGTGGTGGACCTTCCTCGCCATCTGCAGCTTCGCCAACGTGCGCATCCTCTCCGAGATCTGGCCGCGTGACCTGCAGAGGCGGGAGGCCGAGCTCACGGCCGCGCGGGCGGCGCTGCTCGAGCGCTCCTTCCCGGCCGACTTTGACCCGAGCGGCAGGCAAGCACGCACGCACGCACGCACGCACGCACACGCACGCACGCACGCACGCACGCACGCACGCACGCACACGCACGCACGCACGCACGCACGCACGCACGCACGCACGCACGCACGCACGCACGCACGCACGCATGCGGTCTCCACCGCCGCCGCCTCCCCCGCCGCCGTCTCCGCTGCCGCCTCTCCTTGGCTACTGCTTTCACCGCCGCCGTCGCCGCCACCACCCCCAGGCTGGCCGTGGTGAACACGCTGCCCTCGGCGCTCACCGCGCTGGGCGGGCCGGCGCGGATCGGCGCCCCGCCCGCCGCCTCGGAGGCGACCCGCCGCTACCAGGCCGAGCTGCGCTGGTGCGCCCTCCTCTACGTCGCCGGCTGCGGCATCCGCGCCGTGTGGCCGCGGATCGACGTCGAGCGCGTCTGCTTCTTCGACTCGCCGCTCAGCGTGACCCTCGTCGGCCGGTCCTCCCCGCCCTCGCCACCACTGCCCTCGCCGCCCCCCCACGCCGCCGCCACCATCACCGCCCCCCGCACCACTCCCGCCCTCAGCCCCGCCCTCGCCGCCTCCACCATGCTCCCCCACTCCCGCCCCTCCTCTCCCTCTCCCGCTCCCCCACTCTCGCCCCTCCTTCGCTCAGTGCCTGCCTCCCTGCTCTCGTCTCGCAGCCTCGCGCCCCGCACAGCCTCCCCTCGCCGCCCCGTCACCTCCCCCTCCCCCCTCCCGCAGCGCGGTCGCCACCGTCGCGGAGCTCTGCCTCGCACACCAGCTGGGCCTCGTGTTTGGCCGCCTCGGCGCAGACTTGGAGGCGGAGCATACCCGCCTCCCCCCCCCGCTGCTTGCCTCTCCTCTCCTCCCTGCCGCCTCTCTCCTCCCCGCCGCCTCTCCCCTCCCCTGCCGCCTCTGCCCCTCCGAGACGCATCCTGCGGCCGAGCCAAGCGCTCGTCGCTGCTCCGCGCGCATGCATGCAAAGCCTCCTCGCCGTGCTCCGGAGGCTGGCCAAACCCTCGTTTCAGCCGCCGCCGCCGCTGCTTGCCTGCTCGACACACCTCTCTCCTCACCATCCCTTCCCGGCTTTGACTGCCTGCCCGCCTGCTGCCCCCTCCCAGAGCCCCGCGCTCGTCGGCCTGCTCCACCTCACCGACACCGCGAGGTACAGTTCTCCCGCCATTACCACCAGCCCCCCCCCCCCCCACCCACCCACCCACCCATCCACCCACCAACCCACGCCCACACACAAGCGTGACGGCCCCATCACCAGCGACGCGCAGCTGCAGTGGGATGCGCGGGAAACGAGCGCACTCCGCGCCGAGCGCGCGGGGCTCTCTCTCCCTCACGCCCTCGCTCCTCACCCTCCGAGCCGCGGTGTCCCCAGGCGCGCGCACGTCCGCTGCTGCGAGGCCACGCGCGGGCTGGGCCGCGCGTGCTTCCCCCTCATCTTCGTGGCGCAGTGCTGCTGCTGGTGCGGCATCACGACCACCCGGCAGGTCTGGCACGGGCTCGAGGAAAGCATCTGGGCGGCGCTGGCGGCGGGCATGCTCCCGGCCCTCCTCTTCGTCGGCAGCTGCTGCGGCGCCCTGGCCGGCCGACCCGCGTCGGCGGAGCTTTGCTCGAGCAGAGGCGACAGCGGTGGGCCGCTGCTGGCGGCCCCCTTGCGGGTTGCGATCCCGGCGGGGCTCGGCGCGACGCAGCGGTTTGCGCGCGTCGGCAGCGTGTGCAGCGTCACCTTTGTCGCCTTCATGGTGTCGGTGGACATCCCGATGTACCTTGCCCGCTGGCGGGCGGACGAGGAGCGAGGGCACGCCTACCTTAGCGTCTGGGAGGGGCTGGTCGACTCGATGCGCTGCGACCGCATCTCGCGCGACTGGGCCGTGTGGCAGGAGGACGTGCCTTGGATGTCCGCCTACTTTACGGCTTGCGTCTGGGCGAGCTTATGGATCGCGTGGGCGGCTCCCACGCTCGAGCTGCCGTGCGACGACGACGACGACGAGGAGGAGGAGGAGGCGAGCTCTTCGAGCAAGGAGAAGCGCTCGTGAGAGCACGCACCCAACCGTCCACGCACACCAGAGTCTTCAAGTGTACTTCTTCCCCAGTGTACTCTCTCCACCACCGCAAGGTAGTTTTGTTTTCGTAAAGCCAACCGTTCAAAAACATGTTTCCGCGTGTCCCTCGCAAAAAGAAATATGGGCGTGACTCTTGCCCGCCGTTTTGGCTTTTGCGGGCCACGGGGCGCCCGCCATCCCCATCGTTGTCTCTAGATACTGACGTACAATGCGCGACGAGCGGCCACTGTTCATCGGCCTTGGCACCCGCGGCACGGTGCAGCAGCAGCTCTACCTAGCACAGGAAATGCAGCGGCGAGGGATCTCGCCACTCCTCGTTGCCATGCCTGTCCACGCGCGGCTGGCAGGACGCTCTGGCGTGCCCTTCACCCCCATCATGGAAGACCGAGTTGACCCTGCCAGTGGTGTGACCGCATCAGCAGCGGAGGCTACCCAGTACCTCGTTGGGCTATACGCGGCGCACGCGGAAACCTTCATGCAGCAGGTCTCCGCAGCAGCAACGGAGCACCGAGCCACATGCGTCATCATCTCTTCCAGCATGGTCTACTTCCTCGGCTGGCTGCGGCGGCAGCGCCTGCCGATTGTGCACGCGTGGTACCAGCCCATGAGGTGGAATGGCGGCCGCAACCTGGGCGTGAGCTACGATCAAGTCCATCCAGGCCTCGATGCCGACTTTGTTGCTGTCCGCACCGGGCCCCACGCGAGCGCAGATCTTCATTTGCTCGCCTTCCCGTCAGAGTGGTCGGCGACGCACCTGCCTGGCGTGGCCGGCACCGCGACGGGCTTCTGGCTGCCGCCCGCAGACGCTCAGCTCGAGCTGCCGGGCGAGGAGCTGCGCGCCTTCTTGGGCGCGGACGGCGCGCCTGTCGTGTGCCTCAACTTCGGCAGCATGCGCGCGTACGAGCAGCCTTGGGCGGCGGAGCTGCTCGCGGCACTGCGCGACCTGCTGTCTCGCGGCGAGATCCGGTTGCTCGCCATCGGCCGGCTCGTGCCGGAGGCCGTGCGCTCATGGCAGCACACGGCGTGGGTGGCGTCGGTCGCTCACGCGCATGTGTTCCCTCGGTGCGCTTGTGTCGTCCACCACTGCGCCTCCGGGACGGCTGCGGCGGTGCTCGCGGCGCGCGTGCCGTCGGTGGCGGTGCCGTACGCCCAGTGGCTCGACCAGCCGCACATCGCCAGCTGGCTCGAGCGCGAGGGCGCGGGCGTGCATGTGCGCGATGGCTCGCGCAGTGAGGCGGCGTTCGCCGCGGCGGTGCGGCGTGTGAGCACGGATGTGGCGTTGCGGCGCGGTGCGACGGCGCTGGGCGAGCGCTGTGCGCGGGGCGGCGGCACCGAGGCCGCAGTCAGAGCCATCACGGCGCACCTGGCCCGACTACCGCTGGCTCCCGCAGCGGCAGGCGAGCTGGTGCCATCGCCAGGCAGCGTGGACGGCGAGCTGACGCTGGAGGCGGTGCTCTCGCTGGCGCGCCGCGCATCTGCCGAGTGGGTGACGGCCGACACTGCGCTCAACGAGCTCGACTCGCTCGAGGCGCTCGAGCTGCACGCGCTGCTGGAGGCGGCGGCGGGGAGGCCGCTGCCGACGACGACGGTGCTCGACGACCAGACTGCGAGGAGGAGCTCGTCGCACGCGCGCCCGTGCACGCAATCGGTGGGATCTGCGACGGCGGGCTCATTGCTGCACTGGTCGCGGCCCGCCACCCGGAGTTGCGCGTGTATATCAACATCTGCGGCTCACCGTGGGAGTGGCTTCCGGCTGCTCTGCGAGAGGCGCCAAGGATTCAGGTTCGCTCCCTCCACCTGCTTGGGCGCAACGATGTCGTGCTGACTACCCAGGAGCTGATGAGTCTGGCCGCAAGGTGCGAGCTCGCAAGGTGCGTGTGGCATCCTCAGGGGCATTCTGTTCCCCTTCTTGGGCCACGGCTGTTGGGTGAGCTGCGCGAGGTAGTTGGGGGTGGAGAGAGTGACTACCCACCGTCAAAGGAGATGATGGCGGCGGGACGCGACGACGAAACGCAGCCCGACGGCAAATTCGATTCGATGGCGATGCTAATCAGCTTGTCGGGTGAGCCGAGCCCGCAGATTGTCACAACGCTCCACATGTACGCCATCGCCTCAACCTTCGTGATGTTCCACCACGCCGGCCAAGCGCTGCTGAAAGACATCGTGCCCAGCAGCACGATCGGAATGGCCAATCAGATGTCTCCTTTCAACTCCTTTGCCCTCATGATGGGCGTATGGGACCGCGCACGAGGGGTGCCTTGGGCCCGCGTCAGGACCGAGTTGCGTATCTCAGGGATGCTCCTCTTGCTCACATACTACACGGCGTTCCCCGAGTGCATCGCCGCATTGTACGTGTCTTGCGGCTGGTCGCCAGCCCTCTTGGCGTCGGACCCCAGCGTTCGCGCCACAGCCTCGGACGGCTCAACGAACGGTCTCATCGGTCGCTTCACCGCCCCGTCTTGGTGGTTCCTGGCGGCGATTGTGTATCGATCACTGGCGTATTTGTCGGCTCGGTGTGGAGTTCGAGCGCAAACCCTCGGCGCAATCTCTGTCTTCGTGCACTTTGCCTCCGGCCCTCTCGGCTGGGCGCCATGGCCGATGCAGCGAGGCCCGCTCCATCGCCTCGACAGCGGAGGTTGGTGGACAATGGTCGCCCGAGCTCTTCCCCTAGCGCGGCCACCAGCTGATCTGTGTCACCTGTGGATGTTCTACGCCGCAGTGCCGCACCTTCTTCCGCGCGACTTTCCGGCCACGCCCCTGCCTCGGCACCTGCCACGTTTGGTCTTTGCTGTCGTGGCTGTTGTCGCTGGCATGGTGTACAGGCACACCAGCGCCTTCGGATCGCTGCCCTACGCGTGTGCCGCAGATGGCATCCACCGGCAGCCTGCGTGCGCGCGCCTTGCTGCACGGGGGTCGCTCTGGAGTGCGCACGCACTCTTTGCGGATGCACTCTCGATCTGCACGCAGCTTGTGATGCTCGTTTGCTTTGCAGGCTTGCTCCCGCGCCGTCGAGTGCCACTACTCACCAGCGCCGGCCAGGGGCCGCTGGCAGCCTTCTTCCTGCACATCTACCTCACGCCTTGGACGGACGTGCTCGGCCACCGTGTGCTGGGAGGGTTTGCAAAACTACTCGCGCCCATCCCGATCATGGGCCTTGCGAGCTGTCTGACGATCGTTGCCGCCCTCGGTCTATGCTTCTTGCTGGTTTGTGCCTTCGCTGCCATTGGCCGTGTGGTGCATCGCGTCCTGGACGCACACGCGGCGAAGATTCCTGCAGCAGTGTGTTTGCTACTGTTCGGAGTAGGACAGCGACGTGACGTGCTGGCGCCAACGTGCACTGGAGAGGCATGCGCCCACAACACGATGGTGTCGCCATCCATTTGCCCGGTATGCGTCGACGCGAGTGGCGTGCTAGACGTTCGTTGCTGCTCGGCCGGTCGCACCCGAGTGCTGTTCATTGGCAATTCACTCTTATCCCATTTGCCGGAGGCTTTCGAGCTTGTCGCAGCTAAGCTCCGCCTCCGCGTGGTCGTGTCCTCGGTCGCCTTGTACGGCTGCTGCCTCCGCCAAACGCTCTCTCAAAACCAGACAAGGCTTGCGCTCAGCGATTCGCAAGGTTGGGACTTTGTCGTTCTTCAAGAGTTCTCGGACCTACCCACCCTCCGCCACGCGCGTCAAACGTTCTGGCATCGGGCCCTGCGCGATGTGAGGGCAACCCTTAGGGCATCCTCTCACCGACGTGCCAAGTTGGTGCTCATGATGACGTGGGGGCGCGCCCGTGGATTTGAGCGGAGATGTCCAGCCCAGCCGAAGTGTGTGGCCAACCTGGGAGCACCGGCACCGGCACCAGCAGTGCTCGAGCTGCTCGACGACGAGAAGGCTCGAAGGTGTGCCCAGGCGGGGGACCTGCGGCCAAGGCTAGGATCGTTTGCGTGCATGACGTACTCTCTGAGCCGAGCCCACCTCGCCACGCTGCGAAGAGGCCTCGCCGATGCCGTCGCTCCGTGCGGGTTGGCGTGGTTGCGAGCGCGTCGCTCCGCTTGGTCGCTGTCAGACACACGCGCTTGTACCGGGATTATCGATCGCGAGTACTCCCGTCCATCTCCCATCAACCTCAGCGACTTCCCACAGACACCTGCAGTTGCCCCTCGGATTGGTCGGAAGGAGCTGTATGCACGTGGCGACGCGATTCACGCTTCTTCGACGGGGGTGCGTCTCAACACTGCCGTCATCATCCTGACTCTGTTTCCTGCTATCGCGCGAGATGATCTCACACAGGCGCTCACCCGCTTTCGAGTGCAAGGCCAGCTCATCGGGACCTCGCTGGCGAGATGGCTGACTCAGATTGCAAGTGACGCGCGCGAGAGCTGCGGCCACGCATGCAACGAGGCGCGCGCTTGAGATGGGTTAAGGGGCAATGAAGCTGTGCCCACCACCTGGTGACAAAATGCGTATTGGGTTGTGCTTGTGGCTTGTGCGTGCTGTGCGGCGCGGGCCCCGCGCGTCTCACGAGTCACGTCATAAGTCACGTCACACGGCGTGGAACCGTCAGGGGTTGCGCTTCGTTGCGCTTGCGGTGGAGACTGTGTGGCATCTGGCATTGTTGACTGAGCTGACGTGACGGTTTTAAAATCGTTAAATCACCGCCGCCCGTAAACCGCAATAAACAACGAGCGAGACGGTCCCGCGCTGTCCCCAGGGACTCCACTCTGCATGCAGCCACGGCGGCACGGGACAGCGGCCTAATTATACGCGCCGCCTTCTCTCTATATCTCGCGCGGCTGCTCTCTTCGCCACTCCGAGGGGCCATTCTATGCACCCGAACGACCCCCCAACCCTCAGCCCCGGCCCATACCGACGCGATGGCCCCGCGCCCACCCACAGACACAGCATGCGTACACACACACACACCTCGCCAGAGCGGGACGATCGCGCCTGATCGCGCCCCGACGCTCGCTACCGCGGCAAGCGCCGGCCCCGGCCCAGCGGCGACTGGCGGCGGCCGCGCTCACGCGGACTGCGCGTTGCGCCGCGAGGAGCGAGTCCGCTTCGAGATTGGCGTCGGCTCGGGGAGCTTGCTTCTGGCGCCGGCCGGCTCCGGCTCCGGCGCGGCCTCCGGCACGGCCTCTGGCTCGCGCGTCGACGCGCGGGGGGAGGGGGCGCGGAAGGAGGCGCGCGCCTGAG